AATTAACTTTGTAGTGTAGACATACCCCCAGGGCCCTGCAGAAGACTTCTTGCTGTCCAGGGCCTGCAGATGCCTGCCCTGTGCCAGGAGGAGGCAGCATTTACACTCATCCCTTGTTGGCTGGGTGAGAAGGGAGCCCTGTCCTGCCCCCGCAAGGCTCCAAGTCCCTGGCCCTTAAAGATTCAGTAGCAGGATCTGTCTTAGCTGCTATGACTCATCTGGGCCCTTTCTCTCTTTCACTGTATCTCCCTGGATTTTGTCAGGCCACCTGAAATCTTAGAGGCCACGTCACTGGATGAGAGGGACTTATTTACTTATTCCCACGATATAAGAACTAGGGGTCACCAAATGAAGTTAATAGGCAGCAGGTTTAAAACAAACCAAAGGAAGTTTTTCTTCACTCAGCACACAGTCAACCTGTGGAACTCCTTGCCAGAGGATATGGTGAAGGCTAGAACTTTAAGAGGGTTCAAAAAGAGCTATACAGATTCATGACGGTTAGGTCCACCAATAGCTATTAGCCAGGACAGGTAAGAATGGTGTCCCTAGCCTCTGTTTCTCTGGAGGTGGGTGACAGGGGAGGGATGAAGTGAGGATTACCAATTGTGAGGTATTGGCCTGATACTGGGCTAGATGGACCTTTGGTCTACCCCAGTCTGGCCGTTCTTATGTTCTTATGACCAGTGGAGTTCCGTGCCCACCCACAGTGTGGTGTGGTGTGGTGCGGCGTGGTGTGGTGTGGCGTGGTGTGGTGCCACAGGCCTGCCATGGCCAGAGCAGCCCCTGCCCATGGTGAACTCAGCCTGGCTGAAGGAGCTCCAGTCTGCTGTGGGCCCGGAGCAGTACCTCCACCCGCCCTATGTACCGTATTTTCTGGCGTATAAGGCGACTGGGCGTATAAGACGACCCCCTAATTTTCTAGTTAAAACATAGGTTTTCGTCTTATACTCGCCGTATAAGACTACCCCCCCTTAAGAGGCCAACCGGCAGTGCCCCAGCGCCCCTCCGCCTCCCCGGCTTTGCTCCCGGTGTTCCTGGTCTGCTGGAGACGGTCCCCAGCAGACCAGGGGCACCAGGAGCAGCTTTTCTTGCCCCAGAGGTCGAGGTGGGGGGGCCGGTGCGCCCTGGCGG